AGTGAGTTTGAGGAAAGTTAATCGGCGTCTGTGGTACAGCGTTTGGGCGCTTCGCTGTCGCATGTAGGAGAGACCTGAGTTCGATTCCCGAATTGGTAGAATTTATATCGAGTGTCACTCTGATCAGCCCGGGTTGTCCCAGTCAGTATTGTTTTCACATTGTGTGCTATTCTACCTTCTTTTTGATTTACGAAAGACCAAGATGTGTCTTTAGCTTAAGAATAAGAATACGAATAAGAGAAATATGATAATAAACATGTGATCATCAAAGACTTTATTGAGACCTTGCCCTTGTGACTGTGACCTTTCCCCCCTGCCCCAGATGCGTGGACCTGAGCGAGTGCAAGGAGAAGTGGTTCAAGCAGAGCTCTGACAAAAGTACGTGCGTGAACTATGACCCCTACCAGGTAGCAGACGACCACTTCACCTGCCACTATTGCTGCGTCACGGACGACTGTAACCAACAATACAAGCCGGACGATTCCACTCTCTGGCACTGAGGGAGGACACGCGAGGTCAAGGGCGTGGGCATTTCGAGGTCAAAGGTTCAAGGCCAACGGCCCCCCAAAAAAAGAAGAATGCCATGGCCAGCGCTCTCCTCGTGACAAATTATGTCAATCCCGCAAGAGGGGTGTGGGAGGAAGGGGTGGGTGGGGGGGGATGGGCTGGGAGAGGAGAAGAGTGTATGATGGGGAATAAGAACGTGACTGAAAGTTTAGGGGGGAGGGGGGGTTGGCATAATGGTACATTAAGTGACTATTTTGGGGTTGATCGAAGCGTCAATTTCCCCGATAAGCAATGTCCATTTTCTGTGAATTTTTTCCCTTTTCTTCTTCTTCTTCTTTTTTTATTTTGGGTTCCTTTGTTGATTCATAAGGTGCGTTTGATTTTAATAAGAGTTTTACGCGTACAGCTCTTGTGAAACGAATATGTTAAGTAAATCTCGAAGATTAGAGGTGTTACAAGAGAGTAATATACAAAAAAAGGAGAGGCAAGGATGATAAATGTTTGACTGGACAAAAGGGGCAGACTATACCAGAACACCTGTCAACCACCCACTCGTGAGGATATGTGTGACTGGTAATTAGAGCAATAAATATTGGAAGGGGGGGGGTAGAAGGGGTTAGGACGAGATCAGGAAAGGAGTTTAAATGAAAAGGTAGGTCGGGAGTGTGCATAACAATTGTGTCTGCTGAGTAAGAAGTTTATAAATGATTTACTAATATCGAAGTCATTTCCATAAGCATTGTAAACAGTAGTAGTAGTAGAGTAGGAAAAGGGTCGTTGGAATACTTCGAACTGTTAAGAGTAAATAAATGCAATAAAACGGATTTGAGACGTAAAAGGGTCCTTCTTCTTCATCATCATCATCATCATCATCATCATCATCATCATCATCATCATCATCATC